TTCGATCTAGCCGCTATGATCGCAGGATATAGACTAGATGAGCAACTTGACAATGATGATCTGCTCATCCATGAGCTCAAGATCCATCTGCAAAAACAACTCAAGATTGAGTTCAACAATTTTTGGTGAGTGTTCATTCTGAAATTTCTCAAACTATCAATTTCGCCTGCATTTTCAGCGAAAACATCAAAGCAGGATATCTCAGTGCCTCTTTTGCTTAACTCTCTTGTGTCATCTCCAATCTCAATGTTTATGCAAGCATTCATGTATCAACCCATGCCTCTTCAATTGCAGCTTTAGGTATTCCTCTTAGTGTAACCGACAACAAATAACGACTCTATAGTATTATATGTGCACCCTGTTCTGTGAATTTAAGGTTTTTCGTCGCACCTAATCACTTAGTTTTGGTAAAAAGCCATGTCTCAAATGTTTTTAATCAAGACTTCCTGCTTTTCGATATATTTCAGAGTATTATATGTACATATTGCAAAACTCATAAGTAATACAGTGGTCACTTCAATATTTGAGGTAGTATAATAGAAGATCAGAATAAAAATGGAACGAAACACACAATGAAGTGGTAAATCGTAAGTGCATAAAGCAATGATACAGTGCGTAGGGAACAAGTTGAGATACATAAGCTAAGGAAAGCAGAGAGTCTGCGATAAAGAAAATGCAATGTAGGTAACATGATGACGGAACTATGTAGTAATGAAAAAGATAATTTCAAAAATTTGTTTGATTAGCTTTCAGTTGTTTGCGACGAATTTCTCGCCAAGATCTCATTTTGACGACAACGAATGTGATGTTCCTCGAAACCGCGAATCAATGCCTAAAATTATTTGTGAACAGACAAGCAAAACTGGTTTCCTCCTATGGCGACTACAATAAAGATATAGATGCGATAATGTCAAAAAAAAAAACATGATTCTATGAAAGGAACTCAAACGTTGGTCCTGCACTACGTTCAATCAGTCAGTTTTAGACAAAATTTTTGAAAAGCAAAATGCTTGGGATGCTCATTGCCTATGGATCATCTCTGCGTTTTCGAAACTTGTAATTAAGAATCAAACGTTCAGGGTAGATGTTGTTTTAAAACATTTTTGCAATACTCACCTTGGTTATAGAAAAATTGAGGAGATGGTAGATTTTGTAAAAAGAGAATTTGGAGATGTTTAAAGATGGTGACAACACTAATAATTATTTTTAGGAGTAAGACCAAGTTGCAAATAAGTAGGATTATGCTAAGCTGTTAATGGTGGAAGAATCTCACCAGTGGTTCATAGTGTTGGACAATTCGTGTCGCAAGTATTTCAATAATGTCACAATTCTTGAACTGCACCACAGCAAATATTGTATCACCTCTCTTAAGAAATGCATGAATTCGTTCCACCTGAAAGTGCAAAATTTGTGACCGAAGTTCCTACTACAAAACCAGGACTAACACGGAGTCCTCGCTCGAAACCATGCGGTCGGACAAATCGTTTCTCCGGAAGCGGTGGCTCTGGCTAAGATTTGACAGTTGATTCTGTAAGGTGTTAGTTAAAAATATCGATTACCTCTTTCGTTACTGTACTTGGGGCATCGAAATTACTACAAGAAGCTTCTATGCTACTGCAGATTTCAGGCGCTTCCTATAAAATGGCTATTTAAATGTTTCGGTACATTATGAGAAATTGTGGAGAAGTCTTACATTACGTTTAGATACTTCAGGTACGGGCGACTTTGGCTTGCTAATTTCGGGAGGTTTTAAGCTATAAAAATAAATGTAATCACGTTCAAATTGTTTGTGAGCCAACACACTTTTCTGGTTTCGATTCAAGACTAGTAGCGCTGATTAAGGAAGTGATACTTGAGAGAGAAGGTTTGCGTTTAGGCAGAGCTGGTGGTCGAGGAATCTAAACCTATTTTCCTTTAAGATGAATAGACAACAAAAAAAGTAGAAAAGAACATATCACACCTTTCTTTTAATGATTAAAGGTGGCACAGAACGAGTGGAACTAACAGAAGTGCTTGGTGATGCACGGTCATTCACAGCGGAAGATTTGAGTTTGATGAGAGGAACGTTCTCAGAATCGGAGCTTTCTAGCGCAGAAGATTGAGTATTAAAATCGTGCACAGGGTCGGTCTTCTAAATTGAAAAGGAATTGATGATTTACCACAAGCAAATGAACTAAAAATTAAAAAAAAGGTACAGAATTGTCTTCCTCCGCATTCTTCTTGCTCGCTCGTGCCGTAGGTGTTACTTCAACTGACGGTTCCTCAGATGAAATCGACGGCTCATCATCGGCATTGGATATAATATTAGCTATAACTAATAACATTAAGTGGAATGAATAAAGATATGAATAAAGATATTACTTTATTTAGAAAATTTTGAGCTGTAAACATGATAGA